GACATGCAGCCATGTATCACTGCTGATAGCCTTATCTGACATGAATCCAGTGAATTCTGTTTTAAAGCTATCCAAGCTGGTTCCCATCACTATATCATGCAGTAGCAAATGACATAGTTTAACAGTGCAAAGAAGTACTTCCTTTTAACTGTGCTGTCTCTCTCACCAGTCAGCTTCCAGGATAACCCTGGGTTCTAGTATTCTGAGAGAGGAAGAAAAAAAATCTCTCCATCCACCTTCTTCACACAATGCTTATTTTATTCACTTCTACCATGTCTCCCCAAACATCTTTTTTGAGCTAAGCATTGCAGCCCAAATGTTGCAATCCTCCTTGTCCCAGCCTATTGAAGACTTATTTCCAGCACTAAATTACCTTCCTGTAAACTATGGGGAGCAGAAATGCTGCACTATTCTCAGTGTGGTTGTGCCATAGACTTGTTCAAGGGCAATATGGTATTGGCAGACTTGTGCCCTCCAGTTAGCTGGGCCTCTGCCTTGCTTTTGTCCATTATTATCCATTGCTGTTGAGCATTACAGGGTTCAAACCAAGAGTGCTGTAGGTCAGCCACCGACTTAATATTCCTTTTGGCCAACCACTTACTTCCTTTTGCAGTCAGAGGTGAGTGCTACAAGCATTTCAACCAGGATATCAGCATCACAAGCCAAAATCTATCTGACCCAAGGAACATGAGCTCTGAGAGCTAGTCCATTGCCTTTGCCATCTATAAAGCTCTAAAGCTCTTGCTCAGTCTGAGCAACTTGTTGCTTGAGGTAACACCATGTGGATTTCTGGATGGATTTGCTACCTCCCAAGCTGTGGTAAGCTGAACCTTGCCAGCATTTGAACCCGGATCCAGCATTACCATTGCACCACAAATGGTAATTCTGATATCTGACCAACCTCTAGGATCTCTAACAAATCGATTCCTGAAAGAATGAGTGCCATCTGGTTGGACCAATGAAGCACATTTAACAGACTGGAAAGGTTAACTCCTCTCAGATGTTTCTCTTGCTACTGATTTTCTTGAGCCTTCCACCTTTCTACTAACCTCTTTCTCCCAGTTTCCTACCAGATGCAACAGTTTGTCACTTTCCAAGGTAAATAGCTTTGTTAAATTCTGACCATGTTCCTAAAGTCCCTGCTCTTCCCACTCTTAGTATGTGCAGATTTAATTAATCTTGTATTCCCTCCCTCTTTCAGAACATTAATGAAGCTACTAAATAGGAACAGAAGTAATACCATTTTCTCTGTAACGCATTAACAGCTTCTCCCTCCCACTTCGAAGTTGTTGTTTATCATCACCCTTCATTTCAGTTAGCAGGAGTGTTTATGTCCAATTTAAGCAATTTTTGCGAGACATTCCAATCAGTGTTTTCATAAAACCTGGCTGTATCACAGTTCTTGTTTAATGCATTCCAGTTCCCTCTTTAGTATTTGCATAAGGAAATAGAATACACCAGTCTCAATGATTTTGCTAGAACATCGTGTTAAGAAGCTCACTTTTTATGTCCACAATAACCATGACAACAGTGTTGCATGTAAATGGTGTATGAAAATTCTCTACGCCATATGCAATAGTTTTTCAAGACTCCTAAAGTTTCCTAGCTAGAGCTTGTAAAGGCAGTCTGGAATAAATAAAATAATAAAACAGTTGAGCAAATGGTAAAGTATATTTTCATCAGTAGGCTTTCCAAAACAATTTCTGATTTGCAACTGAAACAACGTTTTCAAGACTGGCTTCTCAAACCCCTGTACATTGTAGCGGTGTAGGATGTTGGATCTGCTAGTGTTCAAATCCTTGCTCAGGTGTAATACTCATAGCGGCTTAAGACTGTTTAGGACACAATCCCATGCCTTCTGATGTTGTTGGCCAGGCATAGGATTATTTGGAGCCCCGGCTTCAAGGACCTGCAACTTCAGAGCTGGAATCCTGAATGAAGAGCCTTCTCCGTGCCCTGCTTGCAGGTGGTGTGGAAAGAACCCCACCAGCTCCATCTCTGAGGTCATAAATCAATCTCAAAAGGGGGGATGCTGGTGGAAAGAGAGCGGGGTGGATAGGCCTGACTCCAAATGATGGCCTGGCCTCCTTTGTTCCCCCGGCTGCTCCACATGCCTTATACTGAATGCAGATAAGGTTCCACATAGATTAGTCTCCCTGAAGAAAGGATAAAAGGTAAGAACAACAAATCAGTATTGCAGAGCTGGCTGAGATTTCTCTGACAAAGATCCAGTTGCTGTGCATCTTTACAAGGATTCTTAAGCATTAACAATTGCTTACTTTATCCTTTTAGAAATAGTTTTGCTGCAGGAAGATCCACGCACTAACTAGTACTTTGTGTCTGGCCAGAGATAGATCCAATGCCAGCTTTGGTCACACACATAATACCTGCTAGAGATTCTCAACAGTACATCAATTATTTGGGATGAATGTTGTGTAAGTAACAGGATCCATGTAAAGGAAAGCAATATAGCACAAGCCTGGGATTCATTTAATACAGTTTGACCTTTTTCTTTCTTTTGCCTTTCCTTTTCCAAAGGTACATGTTGCCTGTGGCCCAATAAACATGAATAATGACCTTAGCATAAATCAATATAGGTGTGTTTTAATGCTGTCAGAGGGGAAATAGTTCTTACAATGTCTGAAAAATAAAGTTGCAATGGTGCCATCTAGTGTGATATGTTTAAATATATTTTAGCTACTGGAGGCCTTCGAGTTTCCTCTGGAGTGCAGAAACGGTCTCTGTTCTTGGGCAGGAAGAAAGAATGGGACCAGATACACTTTAGTTTTCCTTTTAATCAAAATGTTTGTCTTCCCTTTTGATATGCATGACTCAATATACTCAATATACACAAAGCATAAAGTCTTAATGTGCCAGACTGGAAAGAAGAAGGCTGACCTGCTCTCAGAAGCTAAGCAGGGTCAGGCGTGCTTAGATCTCCATTACTCTACTGAGGCCAAGCCTCATGAGAAATCCAGGCTATGTTCATTTGGATGACTCTCCAGCACTTGTGCTAGGATCGCTGCTGTTGTGCTGGAAGGCCTCTTTCTGAGCAGTCGTATGGCCCAGACTTCCTGACCTCAGTTGTGGATGTGGTAGGTCATTAGTCTTTCTCAGGGCCTGGGCATCTTAGTCAAAGCAAGATCCATTTGTTAATAGACTAACAGTGGACTACAGCATTGTGGCTGCCATGTGATGGTCGCTTTCGGTCAGGCCGGGTGGTGATTGTTTACCATAGAGTGAAGGGGACTCAAGCTTTCAGAACCTATGGACATATTTGGGAATTTGAGAAACTGCTGTGGTTGCCACCCTAAAAGACCTAATCAGTGCATCATACTTTGGCATTTACCTGTCACATCTATGGATTTTATATCATGCCTCACTCAGCCAAAATATCTGTTTGATGGGTGTTAGACTCCACATAGACTCTTAAATAAGGAATTGTCTGATTCAGCTAATTGCTGGCAGTGTGATACAGCTAAAGCTTCTTTTAAGTACATGCTTTGGCAATGTCCTGTAGTTGCATCATTTTGGGTGGAGGTTATTATAAAGATAAATTTTGAACTGGAATAGTCCTGAATAGTCACTGAACTACATGCTTTTAAAATGATTTACCTTCATGGAAATTAACAAAAAGAAACTAAAAGGACATACTGATTCTCTGCACCCTTTTGACCACTGAAAAATTGCTATTATAACACTGGAAGGATAGGCACTCACCTCTTGTAATGCAGCAAATTTAGGACTTTCCAAAACTGTCAGTATATGAAAGGGTGGCCTAAACATGCCAACTTCAAATGTTTAATTGTTTGTATAGTTAGGCCTCTTTAGTTGAAGCCTATTTATAATTGTTAGAAAATTGGATGCATTTCACATACATAAATTCAAAAAGAATAGATTAAAAAATATATTGTTTTGAGTGTCCAAGGAGGCCATATTGGGGACCCCTTTGTGGAATGAACTGGAAATGTTCATGGACACCACAGTGGCTGCTGACACTGGACTGGGGACACCTGGTGAGATACTTGTTAGGGAAGCTTGGGTTTCTTTCTCCACCCACTGAAAATATTACAACTAAAAGGCTGGCCCTGTCCTGGATTGTCCCAGCTTACTCATGAGTTGTCCCACACAAATGGTTGACTTCTACTAAGACACCATGTGGATTAAGTTAAAGTGACCTGCAGAGGTTGGTTGTATCTAAGACTTAAATGTTTTACTGCCAATGTTCCCATGTACAAATCAGGATACAAAGCTTCCAGAGGCAGCAAACAGCGTCATATACATGCTCGGAGTACTCCCTAAAACACAACTAAGAAGGACCAAGTGCTTTGTACCAATTTACTTCATATTATTTTATGTGCCTTGGTCAAATGGTTGGGAAAATGAATGTCCCCCTCTCTTCTACCAATGTTACACAACTGAAGTGATTTGACTAAATGCCTGCAATTAGAGTTAGGGTGCAATTAGAATTAGGGTGCTGTTCTTTTTGCTGCATTGATACAGTGACTAGCTAATCTAAGGTTACATGGTTGCAAGCCACGTGTGTGCTTGTCTGTGAGTGTCTGTGTGTTAATGGATTGTTCATTCCCTGGAGTGATATGCTGAATGGTTGTGTTGTATTTTGGGATTCTCTTGTTATGGTTCTTCTGTTGAAAAATACAGACATCCTAACCTATTTGATGGGATTCTTTTCATCGGGAAGCTACCCCCACCCCCCCGCTTCAAATGGGGAATGTTGGGCCATCCAAGAGACCTTCACCTTTTTCAGAGAACAACATTCTTAGGAAGTTCCCTGCAGGAGGAGTAATTATACCCTGCTTGCACACTGTTCTTCTCCCTCTTGAACAGGACGACAGGACAAGGTCGCACATGGTTCCTGAACTTGGGCATTCAGATTATGAATGAAGCAAGGTTTATTTCCAAGAACTAAAGCTCTATTTCAATTCTTTCCTGTCTGACTGGTACAAAAACTGCTTCAGGTAAAAGGAGGCGAAGAATAGGAGGTCTTGGCTGTCTGACTGACTGACTGACTGTCCTAGCATCATGGCCTCAGCTCCCTCTGACAACAGGAGTGCCACTATCTCCTCTCCTGAAGTTTGCAGCTGGAATCCAGAGAATGCACAGTTCCCAGAACAGTTTGCTTGGGATGCAGCAACAGCAGCATACCAAATTGAAGGTATCTGAGTGTTTAAAAATATATGTTATTTATAATATATATTTTGCCACTGGAGTTTGTAGTAGAGGGATAAAATGGGTTGTTTCAAATGGATTGCCTGGCATAATAGTGTATCTGTTGAAAGCAGTGGGAAGATGGTCCTTGAGCTTGGAGTTTCATTACTGCCCATAGCTATTAAGCCTCATGTTGTTCTCCAAGAGATCTCCAGAATTACTTTTCTTTTCCCTCTGGCAGCAGCAGAACATAAGAATTTGCCAGAACATGCCCAGTGGGATGGAATAATGGGAATGAATTTCCCTAGGTCTCAATTGCAGTCAGAACAAAATGTGATCTTATTATACCCCTCTGTAATCTAAGATTATATGTTAGGTTAAAGTGTGAGGTGGTTTGCCTCTGAGTGATGAATAAAATAGACCAAAGGTGGATGCATGAGAACTTTCCCATCATGTTTGTTGTAGGAGAACAATTAGATTAAGGGAAGATCAGAAATAAAAGGCATACCACAGTTTGAAGTTGGTTTCCAGATCTTTGTGTCTTATCCTCCATTCACTGCAGCTAACACCTGCCTAAGTAATAGGCATTTGAACTGTTTTACAATCCAGAATACCCCTTTGGCCACCATGCCTCTTCTTGCAGTTCAGATTGAATCTGAAAGCTCCACCTTGCTATGCTTTACTTTGGGAGAAACATACACATTGCTAATCACCTACAAGTATAGAAACAGATGCAACACTTCTCCAACACAAATTATGAGACAACCAACAAGATACATAACCAGATTCCCAGAGATGTAGTGATCAATTGATAGAAGTCTTACTAGGTTCTAAGTAGAACAGGTCTGGGAGGAGATAGTGGAATTTGGGAGTGCAGCCTAGAAATGCCCAATGCCATTGAGCTTATTCCATCGAAAAACAGTTCCTCGTAGAGCAAGCCTCATTCTGCAGTTACGTGTCCACACAGCTAGACATGTGCTTATAATCCATGGCCGATGGATAGCCACTCTGTGGCTCTCTTTCTAGTGAGGTTATCCAATGCAAGTTAAGTGGCTCTCAAATGTGCTGTTATTTCCAGGTGGCAGAAGTTCCTAGCCCATTGCTCCCTGCTCTTCAGGCTATTGACTTGCATTTATCTTGGGCTGTCTCTGGCTCCTAGGATTTGAACCACTCAGTGCTGTGGCCTTGGGACAGCTCACCCAGTCACTATCAGAGCTGTCATCAGCACTTCAAATCCCTTGAATGCCTGAATGGGTAGACTTCAGGCAGGTCGGGTCAACCTTGTGTTTTGTGTTTCACTAGAACCCCAAGAACCACCATTTAGAGCCAGGTACAGGAGCCTTAGAATGAAAGGACACAATGTGTCTGCACCTAGGATTCTTTTTCTCTTCTGCCAGAACTGAACTGGCAGAATTACAGCCCTTTCACACAGAAGCCAACTCCTGATAACCCCAAACACGATTCAGTTCAGCAGTCTTACTTAGGTTGAAAATATTGTCTTGCTGCTAATGTTAAACAACAGGGAGTCAGAAATGCCTGCTGATCTACGACCCAGAGGTCTAGCTATAGATCCTGGCTTACCTTCTGCCCACAACTGCCTTAATGCATTACAATATAGATTCTGACTGACAGCAGAATGCAAGTGATTCATGGTACCTTCAGAAGTTGAGTTTAGTATTACCTCATTAGTTCATTTACCTTGGTAGTGTCTTTATCAGGGATAGTTAGGCAGCTTCTTCCCCTGGTTCTGCCCTCTCTTCCATAAGGAAAAATGGTGGATCTCCAAGCAGCAGCTGATTGCTTGTGGGGCACAGTCAGGGCAGGAAACAGTGGATTCAGTCTTACAGGCTTTGGAAGCTTGTCGTGTTTCTTCTGTGCATAGAGACTTGTCTTCCTGCAGGGGCTTGGCCTGCTTGCTTTGTGGGAGTCATGCAAAGATGTAGAAGTTTGCTGTCTTTCCTTCAGCTAGTCATGATGCTCATGCTTGCTTCAGAGTAGAAATGCTATTTGGAAGGGCTGCTGAATGATCCAGCTCTGTTTGCTCCTGAGCCTTGTCCACCAGAGATCTGCAAAGGCTTATCCTGCATTCTTTCAAACTGACATGCTGCTCTCATGTTTACTCCTGAGTAGCTGGCCCATGTGAATGCACTGAAAATGCTGCTGGGTAAGTTTTTCCAGCTTACTTTTGAGTGGACACGCCCTACTGCAGATTTGGTTTTGGGGGAGATTTTTTAAATATCTCACTCTTGCCCACCTCATTTGGCCTTGTGCAAATCTTGGAATTGTGCCACCAGATCCAGAGTTTCTCCAAAATGTAATTCAGCCTTCAGGTGCAAAAAATGTTCCTCACCTCTTGTCTGTACTGTCAGCAGCTCTCCAGGGTATCAGAGAAGCGTCTTTCCCAGGGATGGAATCTAGGCCTTTTGCATGCAAAGTATGTTCTCTTTGCACAGTGCAGTATCGAATTGGACAGATGCATTGACAGAAGAATGTAAATGATTCATGGCATGTTCAGAATCTGGGCCTAGTATTTTTCAGATAATGAATGCTGTGAAAAACCACCATAATTCAATTTTGTTAAAAGAAGTTGTTGTTCCACAGAAGAGCAAAAGTTTGAAGAGTTAAATCCTTCCATAGGAAGAAATTCAGTCTTTAATTGATGTCAAAGTTGATGTGTTCGAAAACTTTCACTGCTCTAAGGAGCTGATGAAAATACGATTGCCTTGAGTCACCAAACGACAGGGAAACGTGAACCTTGAGAGACACTCAGAGCACTTTGATCTAATAATTGACCTACTTTGAAGGTTGTCCCACATTAAAGTTCAATTTGTCGAATAACCCCGTGTAGATATATTGGTGCACTCGAGCTATGATAAAATTCTGTAAAGAACATGAGACGTGACTGAAAGCCTATGAGAAGCCCAGTTGTAGAAGAGATATTACATATTCTAGGAATGCTTTGAGTGTCTGCAATATGCTTAACCTTGCATTAAACTTAGATTTAATAAGACAGATGTGTATTAAAGTACTGAATATACTTCAGGGAGCAATTTGGCATCAGCAAGGGATGGGCTGGATGACCTCCTAATAGGTCTTTTCCATCTTTAATTTCTATTATACTAATTGATTATTAAAACTCTTTTTATTGAGGGCTGGTGTATAACTATTACATAGATATTAATCTTGCAGACTAGCTGATATTTAATTTATAGACATTCTAAGCCATAATGTCCCTTTAATTTTTGAGATGGGAAACTCTGAAAAATGTTTCCTGTTACAAAGACTGGAAGATTTCAAGCTCACTTTGATTTCTGTGATCAGAGTATAATATGCAGTGCTAGAGATTAGCAAAGTTTAAATATATTTGTGGCTGAATCTACAAAAACAGAAAAACAAACAAACCCACGCAATCACACTGAAGGCTGCAATCTGTCTTCTTGCACTGCTTTTTCACAGAAACATTTCTGCTGGAGCAGAGATGTGAAGGCCTAGGGGGAACAAATAGAAAAATTTAGAGAAAAAATTCTTTAGCCTTTTCTGTTTTTTCTGAAAAATTGAAAAAAGAAGGAGTCTGGAAATGTTTTTGGAAAGATGAATAAACCGTTTCAGACAAAGTGTTCATATATTGTTCAAAATATTTTATAAAAATATGTAATAGTTCTTTATGGAAGACTATATACAGTAGCAGATCATTACCATTCTTTTGTGCTAAGGACAAGCAGGTAAACTTAGACACAACTCTTAAAACTCTCAAAAGATTTCTAGCTCTAGGGGCCAGTGTCACAAAAGAAGGAAGAAGGTTCAGGTTTTTTCTCTGCCTGTGGGCTTCCTCTTGTTGGTATAGTTGGTGGATCTGTTTCTGCCTTCCTGACAAGGTCTCTAATGACTGGGAAAAAGGGCAGAGCAACAAAAATGAGCTGAAAGTTCACTTATTTGAAAAGAAGGTTTAAATGTAGCCGAATTTAGAAAATTGGACCATGTGATAACTGGGCTAGTTTATTTTTGTAGCCCTTAAATAAATCGTAATTTAATTCCTGCTAAATGAATGCTTTGTTGCAATCCCTGCATGCATGCACACACCCCAAAACTTAGTGTTTACTGTCAGGTAAGCCACGAAACTATTTTTCCTTTTTCTCCCCTCAGCCAAACAGTGAGATCACCACCTATAAATGGATTTCTACACTGCAAGGTACTCAAAGAAAAAAAATGCATATATTGTCTAATGAAATATGCATTTCCAAATGTTACTAGGATGATGAAACATGAGCTTGTTTCATGTTAGAGGTGTCCTGCTGACATTTTAAAAAAATCTTCATGGATTTAAGTGAAGACCATATTAATGAAAATGCAAGTAGCTTTTCTCCCTGTTCACATTCCAGAAATCTTCTTTCTATTCCTTCTGCACTACCAGTATTAACAAAAAGAGCATTCCCACCATTAAGAGCATTTTCAAGTAAACACACACTGCAAACAATGGTTCAGGTAGTTACTGACAAGTTCTGTTCCTGAGAATGTCCTTATATCAAATTTGTATGACTGTCAGATCCCATGAGTAAGCCAAATGTTTGTCTTGGTATATATATTTATTTGTATATAAAACACTCTAGAAATACTTCCATATTCACTTAAACATCTTCAACACAATACAGCATTGTAATAATGATAATAATACAGTAATAATAAAGTAACTATGGATATTGAAGAGAGAGAATCTATATATACGCATGTACTTTATGTGTGTAGGTATACAGTATTGAAAAAATTGTCATAACTTGCCTCTTATGCCTGGCTTGATATATATTTGAACTTAATTGTTTAGCCATCTTTAATTTTAATGTAAGCCCAATAGAAAACAACTTGAATCTTTAAAAGTAACTTATGAGTCCCTCATTGTCTCCCAGAATTCTCTGATAATGGGCTGCTAGGACAAAATAGTCTAATGCCTGCTTATTGCATTCAAAACTGCAAATCGTTCAGATTTGTCATGAGCTGGACTCCACTAGTGAC